CGGGACGGGGCTGGGCGGAGCGTGCAGCGGCGATGACGCGGGGCGGGGCGGCGCGGGGCAGCGTGGCGGGGCGGGGCGGCGACGACGAGGTGGCGGCAGGGAGACGCGCGACGACGGGAGTGGAGCAGGAGAGATCGAAAACTGCAAAGTCCTGTATATAAGCAAGAGCATCGGTCCCGGTTGGTGGCTCCAACCGGGACTCATGCCCCCTTTCGTCCCGGTTGGTGCCACCAACCGGGACCAAAGGCCTCTTTTTAGCAGCCCAAAGGGCGGGAAATGAAGACCTTTGGTCCCGGTTGGCGGCTCCAACCGGGACTAAAGGGGGGGGGGCGTTGGTGCCACGAACCGGTACCAATGCACCCCTTTAGTTCCGGTTGGTGCCACCAATCGGGACTAAAGGCCATGTGCTGCCCGCGTCGCGGCATGAAAGTTTAGTCCCACCTCGCTAGCTGAGGGAGCTCGAGAGTGGTTTATAAGCCCCAGTCCCGCTGCCCTCTCGAGCTCCTCTCAAATGCAGGCTTACGGGCCTGTGCCTGTGGGCCTATTGGGCCTATTGCGGGCCTGAATCCTGGCCCATTGTTGGGTTTCTAATCGTATTCAGGCTGTGGTAGCCTTTTAGGTGGCACTTTTTTTATTTTATTTTGATTCTTCCTGCAGCTGTTTTTTTAGTCCCACCTCGCCAAACGAGAGGCACTCGCAGCTGTTTATAAGCCCTGAGTGCAGAGACGATGACGAAGAGGCCCAATGCTCCTGCACATTGGTTAGCTTCAAGCCTTGAGGAATACGGTAGACTGCACAGAGCTATGTGCAGTGCAGTTGACACTATTCCGAAAGGCTTGAAGCAAATTAACAAGCATTGCGCCTCTTTTTTATTTTTAATGACTTATTACAACTGAGAAATAAAAAGAAAACAAATAAATATAGCTGAAAACAAAAAAAACTATATACTCCCTCCGTTCCTAAATATTTGTCTTTTTAGAGATTTTAACAAGTACTACATACGAAGTAAAATGAGTGAATCTATATTCTAAAATATGTCTACATACATCCGTATGTTGTAGTCTATTTGAATGTCTCGAAAGACAAATATTTAGGAACGGAGGGAATAGAAAACTACTCAGAAATGAATTGAAGCAAAAAATAGTTGTGATTAACTGTACTAAAAAAGGAGCATAGATCCTTATTTTTAATGACTTATTACAACTCAGAAATAAAAAGAAGAAAATACAGTTGTGATTAACTTTACTAAAATATGAGCATAGATGCTTATTTTTAATGACTTATTACAATTGAAAAATAAATAGAAGAAAAAATAAAAAGAAAACAAATAAATATAAATGAAAAGAAAAAAAAACTATATAGAAAACTACTCAGAAATGAATTGAAGCAAAAAATAATTGTGATTAACTGTACTAAAAAAGGAGCATAGATGCTTATTTTTAGTGACTTATTACAACTCAGAAATAAAAAGAAGAAAAAATAGTTGTGATTAACTTTACTAAAATATGAGCATAGATGCTTATTTTTAATGACTTATTACAATTCAAAAATAAATAGAAGAAAAAATAGTTATGATTAACTTTACTAAAAAATGAGCATAGATGCTTGTTTTTAATGACTTATTACAACTCAGAAATAAAAAGAAAAAATTAAATATAGCAGAAAAGAAAAAAAACTATATAAAAAGCTACTCAGAAATGAGCATAGATGCGCTTATAGAGGAAATTCAAATTAAATTCATAACAAATTTCAAGAGAAATTCGTATGAATTTAGCCTAAATTCTCTATATAAGGGCATCTATTTTCATTTTCAGAGGAGCTCAATAAGGTAGAGAGGGAGGGGCTTATAAACCGGTCTGATTCCCCTTCGGTTGGCGAGGTGGAACTAAACTTTGGCCGCAACGAGGACCAACCCTTTAGTTCCGGTTGGTGGAATGGACCGGGACTAATGGTCGTCCTTTGGTCCCGGTTCAGGCCACCAACCGGGACCAATGGTGGTGGGCCAGGAGCGAGGGCCATTGGTCCTGGTTCGTCCCACCAACCGGGACCAATAGGTCCAGACGAACCGGGACCAATGGCCCACGTGGCCCGGCCGGCCCCTGGGGCTCACGAACCGGGTCCAATGCCCCCATTGGTTCCGGTTCTGGATTGAACCGGGACTAATGGGCTGGACCGGCCTGGACCATTGGCCCTTTTTCTACTAGTGCTATTTTTCTCGTGTTAGTCCCTGCGCTCCCGATTTCTAGCGTTGCTTTCCTTTTATGCCCCCATCTCATCCGCTGCTAGCCCCATTAATTGCGTCAGTTTCCAATAAAAGAGGCAGGAGAAAACGGCATGCATTGGCTCATGCAGGCTGAGCACGTTGGGGAGCTAACCACAGCGTAAAAGGAGTGCAGTGCAGTGTAAAAGGACCGGCCAAAGATTGTATGCATATCTAGTCCTCATACTCATGTAGAGCACTGTTGCGCAGGGGCAAATTAGTCCAGAAAAATCAAACCATTGCTCTCCTTGGTATGCGGGTCAAGAGTTAGGCTGCTGCCAATGCATCGGTGCTTAGATGAGGTGCTAAGCACATTAAATAGCTTAGCAATTATACTCCCCAATGCATAGGTGCTTAGCTTATGGTAGCGAAGCTTGCTTCATTTCATGATTTAGCAACTAAAACTCTTCATGTATTGGTGGCTTCCTTCATTTAAATGTTTTGCCTAGGTTCACGCGCTTAGCATTGTTTCTTTCTGGAGTCACCACACCCATCTCTCTCCTCTTAAATAACTTGCCACATCAGATTTTCTGCCTACGTGGAAGGCTTAGCACCTGTACAAGGCGGAGCATTGGGAGGGGCCTAATGCTCTCTCTCATTTTTAATTTATTGGCCACATCACGATTTTGTCTATGTGGCACCCTTAACACCTGTACGCCTTGGAGCACTAGGAAGGGCCTAATGCGCAGAGTAGAAAGAATAGGAGTGAGTTATACATTGGGAAGTACTCTTTCCGTTTTTATTTACTCCACATATTAGGTTTGCTAAAAGTTAAACTTTACAAATTTTGAGAAAGTTTATAAACAAAAATATTAACATATACAATAACAAAGCAATACCATTATATTTTTTATTTAATGTACTTCCACTTCATATAGATTTGCTATGGTAAATATTTATATTCTTTTCTATAAATTTGGTCAAATTTTAGTAATTTTGACTTTAATCGTCTCTAATATGCAAAATAAATAAAAATGGAGGGAGTATTTTATGATAAGGAGTAAAGAAGAGATACAACTTTTTTATTTGACAACAACAAAGGTAGTACAACTTTATGAAAACTGCAACATCATTGCCATAGGTAGATGGTATGGATACATACCAAGAGGCCCGGCCACGACCTATCTGCCGTCCTTGATTTAGTTCGTACAGGTGGTGGCGCACTTGCCGTTGCATTCACTCGTGCACTGCTCACTAGTTAGCCTCATGCAGTCCGCGCACGAAGAACTGCCAGAGCAAGAGCCATAGCATGACCGGGTCGCCTCGCCGTCGCAGTTGCAGCTACCAGTGGTGCAACCGGCCCTGCACTTGCCGATCGCGCAAGACCGGCAGTCCTGGCAGCTGGGGACTTTGCAGTACTTGCGGCACATCGGGGGAACAGAGACTCTGCACATCTCTGTGCAGTGTGGGCCACACTCGCTGCACCGCATCGCCTGCACCGGACCCGATGCTGGTGCCGGGGTCGTTACTAGTTCTTCTTGGCCCAGCGACGGGGAGCTCCCCACGGATGGAAGGATCACCATGGCAAGCATGGTAGCAATGGTGGCCACTTTGAGAGCAAGGGTAGGTGAACCTGGAGCCATATTGGAGAAGAGTGTGTGAAGATCGACACTAAGCGTGAGTGGTCTGCCTTTGAAGGAGCACGCACACAGATGTTATTTATAAGCACCCAAGGACCCTAGCTAGGTAGTAACTGCGTTCATCTATCAGCTAAATATGCATACTATATGGACTATATATGTATAGATATGCTACCATGTTGATTATTACAGGCTGTGATCTACGCCATGCACGTTGCTTCATAAGTGGCCATCTATGTTATTATTATTTTCCCTTTTGAGATTCGTACTACATACGTGGTGTGTTGTGTTTCACGAGGGCAAATATCTTGCTTCTCTTCTCACGTCTTCTGGCATAAGTGGCATGCCCACCACATGTGGCCATGCTGCATTGTCTGTATACAGCCAGATATGTACACACTCACTCATCCGTGTCACAACCATTGGCGCGCTCCAGAGAACACATGTGCCACCGGCAGACTCAAATAATAGTTACGGCAATTATTACTCAGATGTTGATTTAAATTATTTTTCTCATGTCTGGCAGAAAGATAAGGCTTTACAAGGGACGTTTGAGCCACGAGAGAAAGATGACATATTTCCCACCTCTTTAGGGACACTTAGCCAAGCTCTCAAACACTGACAACATGAATGACGACTATATCGATTCGCCACTCGAGAAACCAGACCTCCTCCCGCACTCATCCACGCAACAACAATGACATCCCGATCAAGACCCCTTCAACAGGGCTGAGAATTGCTAGACAGGCTACAAAGGAGATTACAGATACACGCAGGACAATCACTACAACCTGTAGAACAAATCTAGTCACCTGTTGATAAAAATAACCAAGTAACATAATTGATCGCCTGAAAACTTATGATTAACGGAACGGCGGTACTAACAAAAGAAGTAGGTGGTAACGAGGATTTCATGTATAGAGGATATGTATACTAATACCCTAACCATAGATGTAACCCTCGAATGCCAGAATGAAAACTAGACTAGAAGCAACTAATCTTCAAGCGCAGCTTTCTCCTTTCTCTCTTCACCTCCAACTCACCATCGATAGATACTACACCATCGAGGCTACAAGCAAGACAAGAAATTGTTGGTGCTAATCGGTCTATTCTCCCTTCACCTCCTTGACTCTCACATTTTTTGGTTTTCCTCCAATATCTTAAATGGACTGAAGCTAGACATGTCCATATCACACCCAACTTGACATCCTAAGGCATGGGTATATATAAGACTTGTACAAATCTCTAGTTTTTGTTACCCCTTTTTAGGAAAAAAAAATCTGAGCATGGTATATGTGTTGAATCAGCCGTTCACGAAGTAAACTGCGGAGTCTTGTGACCTTGCTTCGCACTACATGAAGGTTGGTTAGTCTGGATCAGCCTACATGCATGTTTAGTTTCCAAAATCAGCCTACATGAAACAAAGGAATGGATAGAGGTTCCTGAATGAATGACTGGTCGGATGAAAGTTCAATTTGCAAACAGGTCAATCATGAATGATCCAAAGTAACCAACCTTCATGTAGTAGAACTTAAATACGCATATTATGTTTGTTTTGGTCATACTTAGAGCAACTCCAATAGCTCCCGTGTCTGTAAACAACTACTCCCTCCATCCCAAAATAAGTGTCTCAACTTTGTACTAATTCTAGTACAGAGTTGTACTAAGATTGAGACACTTATTTTGGGACGGTGGGAGTATCTTTTACAGGAAGTTGATGGGAAAATAGTCCTCCAATAACTCCTATAAACCAGGAAACTTTTACAGGATCCCTTATAATTACCCCAAACTTGTAGAAAATACTGGATGGATGAATATTGTGTTGTTGTATGCTATATTGATCTGACCCTCATATGGGGTATATATAAGAGTACAACGTGGGAAGAGGATTAGAGTACAAGGCAAGTCATTGTTGGTTTAAACCAAATCTATCTCTATCTCTCTTAATCCCTAACTAACACGTTTGTACTTCTAACATTCCCCCTCAGTCGTAGCGTGAGTGAAGCGGACCATTGCGACTGAATTTGAAGTCTTGCGCTTCCGCCATCTTCTCCGTTGTGCCATCATCAACTGCGTTTCTGATGGGTTGGCACCAAGGGCGTTGACTGCGTCCCCTTCTGGTGCCTCCCTTGACTCTCCTCTATTCCCTCCCGCGGTCATAGCGGGAGTGGCGTGGACGCTGGTAACGACGCGGACGCTGTTGACTGGAGTTGTTGCCGATGTGTTGCTACAGACCAAGTCATTAATGTCGATGTCGAGGTAGCCGATCATGGTGATGTAGCCGTGGTCGATGTAGTCGTGGTCGATGGTGCAGTCGTTATGGATGATGAAGCCGCACAAAGTCGGAGGCGCAAAAAAATGCGCTATGACGGAGCTGCAGACGTGGACGATGCATCTTGCGGATGTCAAAGGATGCCGTCGGCGATGAGTCCGCCGGTTTTGCCAAGACCGGACGAAACCCATCGAGCACACATCGGTTTTGCCAGAACCGTGCGGCCGTGTAGCGTCATCACTGTAGTGACGCCGTGTCAATGTAGTTGTGCTGTCGTGGATGACGCGGTCGATGCCATCATCGTGACGCGGTCATTGCCGTCGTCGTGGTCGCATCTTGCAGAAAATTCTGTCAGAGGACGCTAGGTGTCCATCTTGTGGATAACGCAACGGCGGTGTGTTGAAGAAGATGTTGGTGAAGACCACGTTGATAAAGACCTTGCCGATGAAGTGTCGGCGATGGCGTTGCATCGGCGTGTCGACGATAATGTGTCACTTGAAGGTGTCCCTCGCGGCGACCAAGTGTCGATGCCGTGTTGCGACGGAGAAGGTGATGAAGATTGCATCTTACTCCACACCGGCCTGACGTGTGGATGGTGCATGTCGTGGTCGCTTCTCGTATATGTGCTCGACGGAGTATGTTGGCTTGTAGCATGACGTAGTCTTACAACTCGATGATGCAGCTCAGGTTGATGGAGGGTCGATCGTTCGGTGTAGTGAGTCGGTGCAGAAGGCCGAATCGATGTAGATGTCGATGCAGTTGCAGTTGCAGCAGGCCGGTCGATGTAGACTGCTGCTTGACGGCGCGTCCGAGAGATGCTGGAGATCGTGCGGGTCGACGAAGCTGGATACGCGTGGTAGGCAGGTGCAGGCCGGCTTGGTGCATCTTGTCATGGGTCGTGGTCGTAGGGCGCGCGCTGGAGTCGATGGAGTTGGGGAAAAGGCCCTCCCGTGATCCGTGCCATGCGCTAGGCCCCTCGCCAGTGGAAGTCGCTCGGCCGTTGTTCTGCTGATGCGCGGGTGGCCGATTGGATCGGACAGCAGCTTTTGGGGCAGGATGATGGAGACGGATGTAGGTCGGCTCCGCGTCGTCCGTGTGGACGATGGTGTCGATCTGGTCGATGGCGAGTAGACGATATGCAGCCTCGGAGAAGCCTGCGCTGGAGCCGCCGGGTGCAACGTGCGTGCGGGTGTAGCGTCGAGGTCGCGTGTCGCATGACGCATGAGTCGACGAAGGCTGGTAGACACGCGAGGCTCGAGCTTCTGGATGGACACATCACAGATCATGGAGTTAATTTCCTCCCGTGCGGTGCTGCCCCATGTCCTGCATGCGCCTTGCATGTCCATGGGCTGCATTGGATGTGCAGAATCAGCCCGTGCGCGGAATTCCGATTGCTCCTCTCGAACGAAGTCCGTAGCGACCGCCTGGATGATACGACTTGCCCGCCGATGAAGCACCGATTTCTAGGGTTTATAGCTAAAGAAAATAGTAGTATCTATCTATCTACTGGATGGAAATTGAGAATTCAAAAATTAGATCTAATCCAATATAGGGAAGAACCGGCCAGATCTTTGATCGATCGGGTGCCGCGTCCCCGAAGAGAGGAAATTAATCTCCCCGGGGGCATCGCGATGCGGAAGATGTGAAAGGTCTTAGGCAGTGACGGAGACAGGGGGGCCAGCACGGGCCCTGGCCCCCCCTAACATCTGGATTTTGCTGCTAATCTACTATGAACACTGACATAATTAGTAATCTTGTACTACTGAAAATTTATTTTGCTATAGTTTGGCCCTCCCTAACTTGTTTTAGCAGCACTTGGCCCCCCTAATACATATTTTCTGGCTCCGCCACTACTTAGGATCGGCGTCGTTAGACTAACTGCTCTAATACCATGTAGAAAATACTGGCTGGATGAATATTGTGTTGTTGTATGCTATATTGATTTGACCCTCATATGGGGTATATATAAAAGTACAACGTGGGAAGAGGATTGGAGTATAAAGCAAGTCATTGTTGGATTAAACCAAATCTATCTATATCTCTCCTAATCCCTAACTAACACGTTTGACTTCTAACAAAACTTCCCTCACTTTTATAGGAAATGACCCTTTCATATAATTTTGGTGCGTTCAAACCGCATGAACCTTCACATCGGACACCCTCGCGTCCCCATGCCACTGCCCCGCCTCAGTCGCAGCCTGCACTTCCTGCCGCTGACTGGTCGAGCGCTCGCCCACCTCTCCCTGCAGCCATTGCTCCGCCGCTGGTCGTGTCGCTCGCCCCTCTTCGAGCTAGCCAGCCGCCTTGCCAGACCATCACCGCGCCTCCCTTCCTTGACTGACCGCACCTTCTCTGACCGACCGCACCCTCTATTTTCTCAATGACATGTTAGGTACCTTGTGTTGTAGACCAGTTCAAAAAGACAGATAGAAAAAAAAATATTTTAGGGGTACATGTTTACGGGAACCGAGAAATTAGTCATCAATCAACCTCCCCTAAATTATACAGACATCCCGTAAAATGACTTTTTCGGAAGGTTTTACTTTTTATAGGAGCTATTGGAGTAGCTCTTACCATCACATCTGGGAAGTAAAAACAGAGAATTTTTCATGTCCATTGCTTGCAACATGAAAGATCTATAACTACTAATAAAAAAATAGGTATGCTTGTCCGTCATGCTATTTTACAGAAAACCTCCTAATATTTTTGACAGTAAACCCACAGTACATAT